CCGCAGAAGATGTCGGCGCGGCGGCCGTGGCCGTGCTGGCTGCTGCCGGCGCTGCTGTGCGGCGCCGCGGGGGGGTACGTGGTGGTCAGCTCCGTGTCGTGGCCGCTGCCCGAGGCGGGGGCGGCGGCGGACGAGCTGCACAGCTCCTCCACCGAGGAGGCGCTGCCCGCGCTGCTGGAGGAAGCGGGCGGCCTCTGGAAGCAGAGCTACCCGGCCTCGGCGTACCGCGAGGATGCGGCGCTGGGCTCGGCGCCGGGGCCGCGGCGGCCGGGCCCGGGGGCCGCCCCCTCCAGGATGTTCTCCTACCGGCGGGAGGGCGGCGGGGCGCCGGGACGCGCCGGGACCGCCCGCTTCCTCGCCCAGCACAGCACCTGGGGCTTCGTGGCGACGCGGGCCGCCCGAGGAAAGGTACGGAGCCCGCGGCGCCCGCGCCTCGCCTTACCGGCGGACGAGCGGCGCAAACTCCCGAGGGGAAATCGTGCTCGGAGCGCAGGGAGGGAGGATGCACGCTAAAAACCGCACCAGAGAGACACCAAAAAGAGCAAAATCTCAAGGCCGGAAGGCAGAGCTGCATCGCAGGCTTTGGAAAGGGGCTGTTTCAGGAGGATGAGGAGGAGGAGGAGAGCCTGCTGGGCTACCACAAAATCTGCCCGTCCGTCCAGGTGTACCAGCTTAAAAGGCGATTTCTCTGTCAGGAACAATAAAATAGCTGGTCTGCTGTTGGGGTCATTCTTTTTTCCAGCTTTAAAGTATTTCCTTTTTTAAAGTGAAACGTTCGGATGAGACACAGCATCTAGTACCACTCAGACAAAAGAGGGAAAAAAGAGAAATAAGTAAATTAAAAAAAAAAAAACAAAAACATTCTTTCTGTTGAAAGTATTCACAGCTTAATTATCTTATGATTTTGAATTAAATTTAGAAGCACGTACGTCTGGCTGAGTTAGTGGGAGTTAATGTTATTGTGGAATACAAAGTAACAGACTGACAAAAAGATACTACTAAATGAATATGATTCGTAATAAAATTTGAAATTCGGGTGGTGGTGTTTGCTGCTTTGAATGCTGAACCATGCTGCCTGTGATCACAATTATTTTTGAGAATCCAGAATAACATTAACTTTGCATGACATTCTGACTATATTAGGCAACGGGAACATGCCCTGCAATATTACTGAGAGGGTTTTTCTTTAATTGCAACTCTTATAAATAAACAAGGATTTGAATTTTCTAAATTATGTAATATCATTAAAGCATTACTTCTAAGGAAAGCCAACAAAGGCCATTTATAGGCACTGTAAGCATTAAAACTTTAAAGGCGTATAAACATTAAAAATCTGAAAGCAGGCTACCCAGGCAACAACATCATCCAGGGTTTTCTTATTAACTATTCATATTTAATTTGATTTTGTTGTAAAAGATTTAATGTATTGACAGATAATTTTACTGATTGACATTTAATAGACCATGAGGAAAAAATATCTGAAGACATGAAAAGAAGGAGCAATTAATTGAATATCTGTCATTGCTATTTATAGTGGGATGAAAAGCATAGTAGGAGTATATGTCATTCTGAAGCACATTAATGAGTGTCACAACTGGGCAAGGACATTTTTGCATGCATTATAACCACTGTGTGTACACAGGGCAGTGTATGGCAGAAAATCTTTTTGAAAACTTGGCTCCTTCGTGTCCCTTCTCTGCCATGAGGGGAGATTTTACTTTGGCTGGCTTGGTAGTTGAGACACCCCCCCACATCAGGAGCTTGATGTTCCTGCCCAGGAAGCTGAGCTGATGTCCAGTCAAACACAATTCTAGTTCAAATGCTTTCTTGTTTTTGCAAACCAATGCAATCACATTGCAAGTCAAAAGCAAAAGAGGAGGCACTATTAGAGTAAAAAGCAGCCTGAATCAAGGCCAAATTAGGCCAAATTTTTTTGGCTTTAAGGAAAGGTATGAGCACTGGTTTAGAGTAAACATTTCCTGGCATCAATGGCAGCAAAAAAAGATACTCATGCACTTAAACATTTTTAATTTGGTAGTTCCTTTAAGCTTAGTGTAAGAGAAAATGTTCCTGATGGTGTCATGGACAGGACTAGAGAGAAGAAATAGAAGCGAGATCTGTTTTCATAGAAGCATGATAGTTCTAATTTAGAGGAGGTAGATGTGATTTAGAAGAAATGCTCTCTCATGATGGTAACAAAGTGGGAGCAATGGGGCTGACTGTCCTCTCTGCTAGAGCCCTCGAGGGAATCCCCCGCCTTGAAAAGGTCTATGTGCAAAGATGTAACCAGTTGCTTATTTGGATTTTGCAGATCCAAGGTATGCCCTATGGGAACTGTTTACTTCTCAGCGATGGTCCCATCAATAACAGCACTGGAGTCCCTTTCTTTTACGTGACACCAAAAGATAACACTGTGACGGATCTTCTGAAGAATCCCATGGCTTCTCTGACCCTTCCAGAGGCAGATGGAAATTTCTGCAGGTAACAGTTTCATTGCCTCTTACCACCTTCAGTGAGAACAGAGACCTCAGAGCAGAATTCTGGGTCCCCACCTTCAATGATTTGCATTTATTTTTGGCTCTCAGAATCAGCTACATTCTCCTTCCTATATTGATTTTTTGGTTGCTTGTTTGTTTTCCAGTAAATTCCCCTGGTAAAGCATAGTAGAGAAAAGCAGAGGTGTCACTGAAGTACATTGTAGTATCAACAGGTGGAGTGGCTTTCAGCTTGAACATTAACATACCTAAAGTTTAATATCTTATTGGACGTGCCTACATAAAATCTAGGTGTTCAAGATCCTGTAATAGTCTATAGTTATCTACCCAATAAAATCCATAGAGTTTTAGAGGCTATCCAATTCACATCTTTGCTCTGCTGAAAACTCTGGAGGCCTTGCTAAATGCCTTGACAGGGCTCCAGCTCTCTGGGGTCTGTAAGAGGATCTCAGGCTTTCAGTTCACAAGTTATATGCTCAGGCCTGTGACACTCCATCTGATTTCCTCCTCTTCAAGAGAATATGATGGAATGTGATATCTTTGCAATTTTTTTACAGCTTGTATATCACCAACAGTCGGTAAATGACCCTCCAAGTAGAAAAAATTCATGTCTGAGGTTTACCAATCTACATCCAATCCCCAGTGCTTCTCTGCAGAGACAGCAGTGAGTTGACTTCTTCTGAATCATGTCATAGAATCTTGGATGGCCCTTAAGGTTTTTTCCAACACAAACCATTCTGTGATTCTAAGTCCAACCCCCTGCCACAGACAGGGACACTTTCCACTATACCAGGTTGCACAAAGCTGCATCCAGCCGGCCTTGAGCACTTCCCAGTATGGAACATCCTCAGCTTCTCTGGACAACCTGTTCCAGGGTCTCATCACCCTCACAGCAAAGAATTTCTTCCTAGCATCTAAACAAAACTTGCTCTCTTTTAGTTCAAATCCATTATCCCTACATGCCCTTGTGAGAAGTCCCTCCCCAGCTTCCTTGCAGGCTCCCTTTAGGTACTGGAAGTTTGCTTATGAGGTCTCCCTGGAGCCTTCTCCAGGCTGAACAACCCCAGCTGCTCTGCCTGTCTTTGCTGGAGAGGTGCTCCAACCCTATGATCATCTTCATGTCCTCCTCTGGACTTGCTCCAACAGCTCCATTCCATTCTTTGCATATAATGAATAACTTCAGATCCCCAAAGCTTTACATGTGTAAAATGCATGTATGTAACCTCAAAGGTGATTCAATTTCCCCCTCCATTCTTGTCTCCTTGAAAAAGACATATCTCTACCGTATGTTTGTTTACAGTCAATCGTGTGGCACACTTGGCTGGGTCAGCCTTGTGTGAAGTGTTATTTACAAGGGCCTCTTTACGTGACGAGGTGCATGACACTGAAATTGTGTCAGACAGAACTCTGTTACCAAAGGAGGTCTTAGCTGATGTTCCAAGGAGAGAGAGAGAGAGAGGACTGGTAAGAACAGACTCCTTCAGAAAGAAATGGTATTAACAGTTTTTATTCCAACTTAAGGTCCTCTTTGGGGAAGGAGAGGTTTTATCTTAAGCCTAGATTTCCCCAGCTGAGGATTGCCTTGAGTATCATCCCAGCTCTCAAGCCTGCTAGCTGAGAAGAACCCTGGGAAAAGCAGGGAATGGCAAATATAAAACACCACTGTTACACTTATCTGTATTTGTCTTCAGAATATATTTTTTTCTAGGGAGTTATATGGTGGAAAAATGAAATGTTTCTTAGTCCGAAGCAGTACAGATAATTTCAGGCTGACATCCTGTTCACAAGGAATGGAAATCATGGCTTCCTCTTACAATGTCAGACACCTAACAGGAAACTTCTATCACCAACATTTGTTAAGATAATTCAGTCTTGAATGCTTGAGGAGGTCAGTGAAGTGCTGAAGTTAACACTGGAATGGTTCTGCTTATTGCTTAAATATTTTCATTAAATATTTTGGATTAATAATTTAGAAAATAAATATGTCCGTTCTTTCACTGCAGGCTTAATGGCATTTATTCCTGCTTTCTGAGCTTTTTCATTCAGTCTAATAGTAAACTTACCATCCAGACTAAGTGCTTAAAAATGTATTTTAAGTCCTATGTCCTACTACTCAATGCCCTATTTTCAGCGGCCCAAGACTCAGAGAAGCTTCCATTGATGATGTGGTAATGTTGAGCACTTCTGAAAACCACACACCCACTTAGGCACTTAAAGTGTGGCCTTTGATCTCTAACTTTAAACAGCTACTCTTGAAAGTCTTTGTCTCTTATGGCCTAGCAACATCACTGCCCTATTTACCTGTTTGGGAAGTGCCAATTCACAACAAAAGAGAAATGCTGCATGATTTACAGAAATATCAAATCCATATACACCACAAATCTTTGAGGATATTTATTCGATGTCTTTTTATTACACCACTATTAATTTTCAAATCCCTACTCTTTTAATCAGTATGACAGATGTTTGCTGCTGCTTGTTTTGCAGCCAGGGAAACCTGGATTCTGTCACCTGACTCTCCAGTCCCCTCTGCAGCCTGAGACTGTGCTCTCTGGTGAGAAGAGTTCTCTGGGCCAAGAAGCTAAACCTGGATTTCCAAAACAGCTTAGTCCAAACTAATTACCATTTGCCACATCCCTACTCTCCCTCCCCACCATCAGTCATGTGCTACCCTGCCCCCCTCACTTTTGGGCTTTGCCTCAGCCTGAGCTGAAACGCAAATGTGAAGAAAATGATCCTGACAGCAAGAATAAGTTTTTCTGTTGATCTTTCTTCTTTTCATCCTGTGGCCAGTACTGCTCCTGGCCTTGGAATACCACCCCCACCCTCCAGCTGACCATATGGTGGGCCTATTTTTGCTCAGTAACCCAGCGGAAACCTCTTGGGGTTTTTTTTTTTCTGGATGATATTTCTACTGTCTTAGTAACTTGAATCAGCTCCTCAAGAGCCAGAGAAGAGCAAAGGAGAGGGGAAAGGAAAAGAGAAGGTGGTGAAAAATAGAATATTCTCATTTTAGCAGGTAACCATACTCCAAATATTGAGCTTACTACTGAATTGAGTACACAGGTTCAGAGTTTGATCAGTGTTCCATACATTATTTATTTTGTTTTTACCTTCAGTTTCTTTTTCATTATTTCTGAAATTCTCATCTAGAACAGATGTTGGTTTGTATTAGAGCAAAGGACAAGCAATACAGACAATGAAAAGTTGTGTTTTTACTTGAGCTACAATTTTTGGTTTTGATGGTATGAAAATGTGAGCAAGCTTTGAGGCTGTCTCTCAGCAAGGAAGGGTATAAGCACTGGACTTCACCTTTCTTCTCTTTCCTTCCCCTATAAGCGGGGTCAGAAATTAATGTATGTTTTAAACTAGGAAACCATGAGCGATTTTTGCATTTAAAAGCAGCACCATCTGAAATTGCAGCCCAGCACACTCTGTGTGACACTGTGTGTCACACTCTGTGTGACACTGAAGAAAACAACAAGGTGTCAGGCCCTACTGCCAGTGCTTGGGATGGCCTGTTCCCAGGTTCAGTGTCCCCCTGGCCAGCTGAGACAGACAGGCTGTGCCATGCAAACAGCACACAGCATCCTCAGTGCAGAGCTTTATGTGATGGCTCAAGTTTGGTACAGCAAAAGTCTTCTTTACTAGCACTACATGGGAGGCAAGACCTTTCCCTCAGTGAGACCTCAGGTCCTGCTAGTATTAAAATGCTATCTGTGAGGTTTTCTTTGCAAAGGAAAGTGTCATTCTTGTCAAGACATCCTCTTCAAGTGCATCATTAATTGTTTTGGTTTCAAAATAATTATGTAAAATAGCTAAATGAGTAATATTCTGTGTGAGAAAGTTCATGTCCCTGTATGCCGGCAATGCATATGTAGCTTGTTTTCATGTGGAACTTCATTAGAATTCCATTATTAATCTACTCTGAGTTGCAAGAATCAAAATAAATGTGAAAGCTGATCGGTGCCTGTAGCCAATGCTCCTGGGAGTATTTGGCACTCTCCTGAAAAATGTTTCTGACCTATTGCATGCAAAAGAAATCTCTGGCCTTTAGAAAGAAAACATAGCTGACATTTCAATGTCTTCGTGTACCTAATGAGTTTCAAGTGACTTGTGTACACCAATTTGATATTAAATTTATTTAGTAGCAAATTTCATTTGTTTTGTTTCAGAACAGACTCAAGTTCCAAACCTTGACAATGAATGTTTTCCCTTTCAAGGATGTGAGGAATACAGACTGGCCTTTATGGTGTTCCAGCCTCAATATTTAATCAGCTGGAGAGAAAATTTGAAAACCCTAGACTAATAAGAAAAATAACATTTAATATTGAAAGAAAGCAAGCCGAGACACATCTGACTAGGCACTAATTGCAAGACATTTTAGTATTGCAGTTACAGTTTGGATTCCTCATCTCTGACCTAGAGATTACCATTTCCCAGAGGGAGATGGGCTGCCCCTCTCTGAGAAGGCTCTGATGGCCAGGATAGAGACAGCATTTGTTAGTAACTACACAGCATTTTATCTGAAGGCTGATAAATGGATAATAGAGGCAAGAAAAATTAAATGGTTCAGGGCTATAAATAGACTAAGCTGGTATGTCTGTGCCACTGACAAGCTGAAAAGATTGAGTTCCATTCCTGCAGCTTTCAGAGGGAGTAAGACCAAGCCCAACATGAAAGAATAGAGCAGCTATTGTTCTAAACACATTTCACAACACACAGGCTGCTCAGAGGATTCCTCTTTCCAAGTAAGCTCCTGAGTCTGCCTCATTACAGCTGCAGCCTGGAAAACAGGCAATTAATTTTAAATGTGTGTCACCTCCTTGACACCAGGTTCAGCACATTCACAGGGACACACTGCAGCTTTCTTAGAGAAGGAGCAGTTATGTGGCTGCCATGAACTGGCTTTCATACAAGGGGAAAGCAGCGAGCTTTGGAGTCAGTCCACCTTTGGTTTTTTCCTGCTATTAGCTGAGGATGGTG